CGTTTTAATTATGTTTGAAATTATGAACATTGCTCAACATCATGAAAATTAAACCTTATTTTCAATAAGCAATCCTGAAAAATATTTGGGGGTGCTTAACTTTTTTCCAGGTGTATATATTGTTGGATATGGTAACATAAGAGCACATGTGCCACTTCATTGTAACTTCTGTATTGTTAGCCATGCATGGCTGAAAGGTCAATATAATAAAAATATAAATGTATAATGTTATGAGATTTAAGCTATTTAGTCTAAACATTTATGTTATAATTTGTTGTCATTCTAGAATAAAAAAGGCATAATTTATATTTATTTCCTAATTTTTATGGTGATTATGAGATCAGTCAAATCTTCTGAACCCGTACAGAGATTTGTTACTGAAAATAACATAAAATAAAGTTTTTTCTTAAGAAACATTTGATAACTATGTGGACATTATAAAGATTTCACATGTGAAATTTGAAAATTTTCTGATGCATAAAAGTATTTTTAATCTTAAAATGAAAATTACTTTGCATGTTGGATAGGCAACATGCTAAAATAAAAAAAGTCATGAGAGAAATATTGCTTTACAAACCTTAAGACTTAATAAAATAATTAGATATTTTGCATATGAAAACATTGTAATGTTTACTGATAATCTGCCAAATTTCGTTAAATTAAAAGTTATATCATGAAAACTATAACAAGTACAAAATGGTTATGAGGCCGGTCCCAGGAACTGAGCCCATGCTGAAAGAGTTAAAAGTTGATAAGAAGTATAAGCCTCTGAATGTTAGGGCTTAACCTTTGTACTGTTTTTATATTTGAACATGGTATCACATTTTATGATTGTACCACTCGAAAAATGGATTTCTTTTGCCACACATTCAGAACAAACATTCTACTGTACTGATGAACAAGAAATATTAGAGCAGGTAAAAAACTTTTTTTCTAAAGGTGACTACTTAACACAATCTTAGTTATGTCAGGTCACATTTGGTTAATGCTAGTGTCAATTAACAATCTTAAAGCATCAAAATTCAACTTACATTTTCAATGGTATCAGAAACTTCAGAGAAACCATCATCACAATAACCATTTGCAATCAGAGAACTTGAGGAAGAAAAACTGGTAGAGGGCTGACCCTGAGGCAGTTATATAAAGAAAAATAAAAAAACTCACTGTATTAATTCGAAATATTTAGTGACAACATCATACAATGCTTGTTCATGAACAGTCTAGTCTAACCCTACTGTCCTGTTTAGTTTTTCATACATTTCACCATAGCTGAAATACTATCATTCCAGCACATCATAAATGATGTTACTCAAGCAGTTCATATGAAATTCATTTATTTATGTGACTGATGCAGTCTCATACATCACAACAATATGTATCATTCGGACACTTTATATCCATACTTACATTACCCAATCTTTATGCAAGTACTTTAATCATGCCTTTAAAAGTAAATGGCTGAAGACATTTTCAGTATAGTTGAAAAATTTACCAGGAAGATGAAAAAAAACAACAACAATGGTCCAATTCTAAAGACTTTCATAGTAAACCACACCAACCACTCTTATAGGAAAAAAACAAAAAACATATCAGCTCAGTTTGATAAAATACACATAATTTATGGCTCAAATAACAAAAAAGCAGCAATCAGCATTTGAGTTATACCTTAACATTCAAGTAAGAAAATTAAAAGTATAGATACCATTGATTAAACTTTGATCCAAAATTAAAATGTGGAGCTTTTGTACAGATTTCTTTTGTTATGAGATGAAATTAAAAAATTTTCCCATAAGTACCTGTTGGTAATTCTTCATATTAGAACTTACCAATTCTGTGGAAGATGAGGATGCTGAGGATTTTGGTTCACAGGCAAACTCTTCCAAATTAAGTGTACAACGAGGTAGATTAGTAAATGTTGACTGTAGTTTTTCAGCCTGTACCAGGAAGTTTAGGGTTATTATAAACATTTAAAATAGTAACTCAAAGACTGTGTACTTATTTAAATCATGTAAAATGAGCAAAAATGGCATAAGCAAAATAACTTTGTAATATTTTTTACATGTGCTATTTCCAAACTCTTGAACATGTGTATGTAACACATTTTTCAAAGTAACATTTAAAATATGTAACAATTAACAGAATGTGGCACATTTCCCACTGACTTAATCTTCTAAAATTGTCCAAATTTCTGGCAGATAAAATCCTCAAAAACAAACCAGGACATCATTTATAATCAGTGCACTTTTTATACCAGCTTACAAAACCATATAGTAAGTATATATATGTTTAAATGGCTGAATTCTATCTTACAGCTTAATCATACTTAGCCTAAAAAAATCCACTAGAATAACACAAATGTCTGGTTTGTTTTGTTTTGCATTCTGTGCAAAGCTACAAGGGTTATCTGCACTAGCCATCCCTAATTTTGAAGTGATACAAAGAGGGAAGGCAGTTAGTCAACACCACCTTCTATCAACTCTTGGGCTACTCTTTTATCAATGAATAGTGGGATTCACCATCACATTATAATGCCCCCATATCTGAAAGAGCAAGCGTGCTTGGTGATGGGGATTTGTGACTTTTAGATTCTGATTCGAATACCCTAACCACCAGGCCCACAAAAATGTCATCAAACCACACTGTACTTTATATTTATTGAAGAAGCCACAACCTGAAGAATCTGAATCAACACGTATACTGTTTATATCCGATGGGCCGCCTAACTGACAGTAACTATCTGCCGCATAAATTGAATGTTCTTCTTAGTTTTGAAAAAAAAAATGAGCCTAAACACATAGGCTGTATTAGTTGTAATATGTTCTTTTGCTCATTGTACAAATGAGACTGAAAGTGTTAAAACAAAAAGTTTCATCAACTTACTTATCTCTTAACATGTTTACTGCCAAGTAAATATGCATAGCTAAAAATTGTAAGATTTAGTCCTTCTATTTCTAACTTGAAAATTTTTTTCACTACACATTAGATATTTTTACAGGCTAATTATTTAACTATTGAACATTTTTTTGTCTAACGATTTCTTTAAAACTCACTGGACTGTAGGAATTTAAATGCAACTTATTTACTATAACTGTAAATATTTCATGATTCTAAATATGTGAGCAGTGAGCAATCTTTTGGAGACAGATAAGAGTCTAAATAAAAGATCTATTTGCAACTGCACACACCTAACTGTAAACCAGTAACTGGCCAGTGAAAAATGACAAAATAAAAATCATACTAGTTTTACTGTAATGTTCTCAGCACACTGTTACAATTACACAGAAATTGTGTCCCAATAATTCTGTCTATACTATAACCTTCATAATTTTAATGAACCGTGTGTTCACATTATAGCTTACTAGTGTGAGACATATATCATATAATCAAACAGAGGTTATCTGAAAAAATTTTCAGTCTATACTATACAGAAATGTGTCATATTCAAACAATTCAGTTAAATATAAATTGCACAAACACAACAATTTTGTCACATAACATCTGCAAATATGTAAATAAAGAAAAATAGCAACCATAGTTATATTTCTTCAATTATATTAAAGAAATAAATAAACATTTGTTATTTCAGTCTTGCATTTCACCAAAAAGTAAAATGTTTTACTTATTAAACTAATATATATATATATATACACACATTCAGTACTCTTTTTTTTTATCAGCATATTTCCTAATGACAGTTTTGGGTGTTGCTAGCTGTGAGGAGGCTGCTACTGCTTTACAAAAGGATTTGGATTATTTGGAGAGTTGGACAAATAAATGGCAGAAGGCTTTCATTATAATAAATGCAAGGTAATGCACATGAGATATCAAAATTTGAATTATCAGGATAATTTTGATGGGAATGATCTTAAATGTATTATGGTAGAAAAAGATCTTGGTGTTCTGGTACATCAGTCTCTTAAGCCATCCAAGCAATGCACTGTCACTAGGTTGTATTGAATAGAAGTCTAAAGAGGTTATAATATCATTGTATATGCAACTGGTTAGGCCACATTTGGAATACTGTGTTCAGTCTTGAGCTCCTTACCTAAGAAAGGACATTGAATTGTTGGAAAAGGTTCAAAGAAGAGCCACTAAGATGATACATGGGATGGAAAGGTTGTCATACAAAGATAGGTTAAAATATCTGAATTTGTTTTCTCTTGAAAAAAAGAAGAGTTAGAAGGGATCTGATTGAGGTGTTTAAGATTGTTAAAGGAATTGATAGTGTTGATGCATCAACTTTTTTCGTATTTAATACTGACAATGGTAAAACTAGGAGACACAAGTATACATTTGGGCAGAGTATGAATCATATTCAGCTAAAACAGCTTTACTGTTCTAACATAATAGTTAGCCTTTAGAATTGATTGCTTTCAAGCATAGTAGATGCAGTTAATTTATGGAAGTTTAATAAATATTTTAATGACAAGGGTTGGCTTTGAGTTTTTAGCATTTATTTTCATTTAGTGAATAGGACAGACTAACTGGATCAAAAGGTCCCTGGTTGTCCTTTGATGTTATAAATTTTCTCATATCGTTTGGAACATAAAAAATTTAATATAAAAGTTTTTGAATACAAAAGTCAAGTAATGGTGACATGCTTCCTCAAACACTTAATAAAACTACTTACAGGGAGAGACTTTCTTCTCTTTAGTACTCTCTGTCTTCCAGAACTAGTAAAACTGTCAATTTTGAAATCTCTTAAAACCCTGCAAAGTGTAAAAGAAATAGATAATGTTTTCATTATTGAATAGTAACCTGTTACAAATAATGATAATTAAATATGCACTGTTTTTAGCACTAGAACTGCAGGCTTGAAAGATTGCATGACATGGAAAGACCAATTAACTAAGGTATACATTGGAATCCACATTTAACAAATACTAATACTAAGAAATTAATAGTTGTACTAAGAATACTATTTATCAATCAATAGAAATGAAAAAGCTTTTGACAATGGAATATCTTATTATGTTGTTAGAAAACACAAGGTCTTCATATCAACAATTACCCAATATGACCTGACGTTCTCTAGGAGAGGAAGTACAAGACTAAGGTCCTTCTCAGATTCACAAAAACTATCTTTATCAACATGACAAATTACCAAACCTTTACTTTTCCCAGGTAAAACTGGGTAGCTTCACTACCATTAAAGTTAAAACTTACCTCTTCAGCAACAAGTTTCTATATTCACTTCCATATAAGTCAACTAACCTATAAATGGAAACTGTATAGTTGTTTCCATAATATTAAACATATTCAACAAACGACAACTTTCCTCACACCTGTAAGCATGGTTACCATCAATACCTATACATCCCAGCACAAGAGTTGCTAGTACATGCGCACACACAGACACACATAAAAAAATTACAATTTTGTGGGAAATAAAAAGAATATAAATATAAAAGAGAGGACATTATTTTCAACTTTTGGGACTAATATTCATTTAAACACCCAGGTCCAATATTATTTGAAATGTACTGGTTAACTAAAAACCATTTTACCTCTCTTGAAACATAGGAGAATCCACAGCTAAAGGAGAATCTGAAGTATCTGAAGGAAAAAAGAATATTTTTTTTTAATATTTGTAGTAGGTTTCTCAACTTTTCAGAAAATCTTGATATTATATAACTTGTCAGACAATGATTTCAAAAATGCATTCAATTCTATAAATCATTTTCTTTGAAAAATTTATTACAAAACAAAATTCTATGATCTCTTCAAACTACACATATTATCGCATTTGAAAGTTTACATTCTCCTATAATGAAAATGTATTTCTGATTATATTTACCTCCTCTCACACTTTAGCTTTATCCCGACAAAAGGTCCTCCTCTTTGCCTGTCTGAGCATTGGTATGAATTCTACATTGCTTGCTCCAGTCTATATATCTCATTATATCACCCCTAGTGATTTTAATCTCTCTCCACCTACATTAATGTGCCATCTATACCCGATCCATATATAAGCTACCCATTATTCTTTTGTATTCACATTTTCGAGACTAGCAAAATTATCAGACCTGAACACTAGCTATCGTGGGAAGGAAGGGTGGGATAGTGTGAGAGAAGGTAAGCAATATCAGAAATATATTTATGGTATAGGAAAATGTAAACTTCCAAAAAGCACTTAACTCCTCTACACTTTAGCTAGAATTCCACATTGACCAGGTGGAGAGGCCAATGAGAGCAAGATCCACACAGAAAGCATATGCATACAAAAACAGGTGTGCAAAATTGTGATATAATAAAGCATATTAGTGGGGGTCTGCACTACTTCTGGAACTGGTATGCTCTTTGCCCAGATAAAGTGAAATCTAAACTTGGGCAGTAAAGGCCAACTAGCTGCAGAGTTAATATTGTTCATTATCATGAGAATCGTCCAGGCTCTATCTGCACAAATGAGGTTCCACGTCTCGTCATTGGAATTATAGGGCTGTGGACGCAAAGCTAGATCAAAGGTGTAGTGGCTAGGGCATGGGGCCTGCAATATGATATAATCGTATAATAGGAATATGATATGAAGGGAACCCAACCTGAAAGTTACAGGATGTTGCATGTTGAGCCACCAGAATTACAAAGAGAAGGCAAGCAACACCTAAATGGACAAACCCTCACTCCAACTTGAAGAAGCACAAAATGCAACAAACTGAACTTGGAATTATGGAGCCAATTCACACCTTACC